AAAAACCCCACTGCTGTCAAGTGGACTCTGACCCATAGTGACCCTAGAGGGCAGGGTAAAAATGCCCTATAGGGTTTCCAAGGCTGTCATTTTACAGAAGCAAACTGCCACATCTTTCTCCCATGGAGTGGCTGGTGGGTTAGAACCTTTCGGTTAGCAGCTGAGCCCTTAACCACTACAGCACCAGGACTCCTTAGGACACAAGAACTAGCAGAGTTTATTTTCTTGGCATCTGAGCATGATAGATTCTAACCTGGGCAATGATATGAGCAGTCACCAAAAAGCTTCCGTGACTTATAATGAACTGAAAGAAATCAGTTAGCCACAATTTATAACTCCACTGGGGTCCCATGAGAAACGACAGGGAGGTTGCAGTAATGGAATCTTATTACTGCGAGTGGTGAGACCACATCTGAGGTCCATCCCAGCCACATATACCACTGCAGGGAAACCAAAAATGAAGCACCTAGGGAAGGATCGCTACTGATGTTGGCAGAATGCTAGCAGGGTTCACACGGGTTCTTTGTAGCAGTGCTTGCAATGCCAAATGTGTGGCGCCTAAGATAACGACCAAATATTTATTCTGACAGAGATTAAATCTTTTCTTTTCCTGAATCTATTATGGATCTTGCAGAAAATCTGCTCAAGAATATATCTCACTATTCATCCAACTCACTAAACCCCAACAACACTTTAACATTGCTGTAGCAGAAAACCTGCCGGAGACAGTTCTCTTCTCTCCCCCTAAAACTTTTCTGCCTTCATGATTAATTAGTGACTCAGAAATGAATTGAATCCCCAACAGTTTATTCTATGGCTTTGGGATTGATATAGTGGTTTCTCATGGAAGACCCAAGGGGCAGTAAACTGCCCACAGCTGTAGGTGGTGCCTGCATCATGATTTCTAAACTCTTCCATTCCTTCCATTCTGTTAAACAGGTAAGGCTTCAGGATATCACAGCCTTGATTATTTAGATTGAGGGTGATTAGGTACCCCCCCAAACACACACATGTACACATCTTTAGAAATGAATGCTAATTCTTTTAGTAAGTCATGCCATTCCTGAATTCCCTGAGAATAAAGGAGAAAAAGTAAATGAATCAGAATAATAGTAATTATGGGCATGAAAAATGCAAAAAGAACCTGTTACTGAGTTGGTTTTTTTTTTTTTATCCATGCAACTAATTTTCTTTATTTGTACTTTGGGTGAAAATTTGTTTTACATTGAACGGTTCATGTACATTTGGTTTCACTCCCCGATTATCATCCCCAACCCTAACCCACTCTCCTGCTCTCCCTTCTTCCCTGTGACCACCCCTATCTCTGTGCCCTTCTTGGTTATGCACTCCTGTCTGTCCAGTTTTCCCAGCTGGTGTCCCCTGGCCGATTGCTCCAAGGGTTGGGTGTTCTGCATGTAAGTCTTTCTCCTGTTGAGCTGAGAGCCAGTCGTTGGGAGTGAGTCCTATCCCAGGCCTGAAGTGTATCCCAAGGCCATAGACTTGGGGGTCCCACCAGACTCCATCCAACCAGTAATTCTGGTCATTATTGTGTTTTTGAATTTTGTTCCACATTTTTCTTCTCACTCTATCCAGGATCTCCAGCTTTGATCCTTTCCCGAGTGGTTGGTATTGGTATCAAGGTACCATCTAGTTCTTCTGGTCTTGAGGCCTATCATATCCTTGGACTAATTGTTTCCAAATGCCCTTGATTTTCTCCACTTTTCTTCACTTCAGATGAAAGGAGATCATTAGCTGCATCTTAGATGGCCACGTGAAAGCTTTTAAGACTCCAGTTGCTACTCACCAAAGTAGGTTATGGAACAATATTTTTAGGTATTATGTTGTGTCAGTTGAGCCTGGTGTCCCCCAATACCATGGCCCTGAGTTGGCAGGCCCAATGAGTCTCTCTTCCAAGGTGTTGGGCTTTCTCTGAGGGATTACTCCAACTGTCTTCTGTTGCTTCTGTAATGATTGTGGTTATTTTGTATCACTAGTATCTATGCAAGTTTATTCTCAGCTGAATCTATCATTGGTCTAGTGTACATTCCTGTTTGCCAACCCCCATCTAATATTCTCAGTTGTCTACACATTAATCTGTAGCCTGGTGTTTGCTGTTAGTGGTAATGCAATATTGTGCATATACTGGTATTAGCCTCTGTCGTCTGTATATTATGTGCACATTTCGGCGTTCTCCCTTTCCCCAATGTTATCATGCTGGTCACAGACACTTTCCATCCTGTCCCTCCCCTTACCCAACTCAGTGTGTGGCCCCCAACTAGTCCGAAATTTTCCCTTCCCTTCCCTCCCATCCCTGGTAACCTACAAAATGAGTTCCCTTCCCTAAGCAAACCCTACCTTGACTTTTTACTGTAATAGGCTCATACAATATTTGTCCTTCTGTGATTGACTTATTTCACTCAGCTTAATGTCCTCCAGATTCATCCACGTCGTGCGATGATTGGCATATTCGTCATTATTCTTTAATGTAGTATAATATTCCATTGTGTGAACATGCCATAATTTGGTTATCCATTCATCTGTTGATGGGCATTTAGGTTGTTTCCATCTCTTTGCTATAGTGAATTATGCTGTGATGAACATGGGTGTGCATATGTCTGTTCGTGTCCTGTCTCTCACCTCTTTAGGATATATTCCTGGTAATGGAATTAATGGTTCAAATGATATTTCTATTTTCAGTTTTTTAAGGCTACACCATACCACTTTCCACAATGGTTTTGCATTTTACAGTCCCACCAATCCATACACCTTATTTTAATGCTAGGTATTTTGTTTAGTGTTGGAGGTTTAGAGAAAAGAAGACAAAAACAAAAACAAAAACAAAAAAACTGATAATATAATGGTCACAAAAAGCAGATTTAAATAACCTTGAGTTTGTTTAGCCACTATTTAGGTGAGCTCTGACTCACATTCTCAGAGAACAGAATGTGGAAGTGGCAACTCTAATTGTATCTCAGCACTCCCAGATGCTGACAACTCCCTTCTAAGCAAAGAGTACGGGTCTATTCTTCCAGTGAACAAACGATGAACTCACATACCACAGGATCATTGTCAAGTTGAAGAAAGCCTACCTTTTGTAAAAATAAGTGTACCAAACTATATGGAAATCAGTGCTTAAATCTCACCATAAATCTTAATTTGTTGATATTAATCATAGATAAATAGACAGACAGATAGATGGGCTCCAATTATGGTGATCTTAAGGACAACATAGCAAATCTGGTCTCGTGTCATACTCACAGTCTCTGGCATGTTTGAGTCATTGTTGTGGCTGCTGTGCCAGTCCAGCTCAGTGAGGGGCTCCTGTGCCCTTACTGGCCCTCTGCTTCCCTAAACAGTCCTTCATCAGTGATGGATCCCTCCTGGTAATGTCTCCAAAGTAAGCCAGTTGAACAATGTGCTGTGTGAGAATTTCATTGGCTAATTTGTGGATGGCTATCACCAAGTCTTTCTTCTTAGTCTGTCATAGTGGGGAAGCTGAAACTTGTCCACTGTGGGTGACTCTGCTGGTTCTTGAAATACTAGTGGCATAGCTTTCAGCATCAGAGCAATGCACAAGCCACCACAGTAAAAAAACTGACAGATGGGTGATGGGACTTTAGTCATAGTAGGTGCTTAATAAATATCTGTATATTGAAGGCAAAGGAAGGAATGAATGAAACAAATGACTAAAACTGAGATTCAGAAAAAATCTTTCCTATATATTCATTGATTTTGATTCTGGATTTCTCTTTTTTTCTTCCTCCTTATGGTTCTTGTCCTTCTCTTCCTTCTTATATGGAAATGGATAACAGAGGCCATGTGAACAAATATTGTGACTCAGTCTTACAGAATATCAGAATTACAACTAAATGTTATTATCCTCAAATTCCTACTCTATTGTTTAGCCAATAAGTCAGACAATTCAAGAAATTCCGAAAGAAGTCTCCTATTTCCCCCTGTCCATTCCTCCTAATACCCTGCAATACAATGACACCTTTCTAGAGCTTAAGAGAGGATGATTATGTCTGATCAGTAATACTAATTTCATTTTATATCTCACTGTGAATATTAATTTTGAGTCTTAGTGGTAATAAGTTACTAGATAAGGAGAGCAGCGATAGCGTTAATAGGATTATTATTTGTGCTTGAGTGCTTCCGAGTGATTCCCAGGAGATGGATGCTATCACCACCTTCACCTTTACCCCTACTGTCGTCATCGTCATCATCATCATTGTCTTCATTGACATAAGTACTCCTCTGGGATTCACTGTGTTTCGACTTCCCACAAATCTTTCGAAGGTACAGAGGTTCTCTTCTGCTGTGTAACACAGGCTGCAGCAGTGAACACTGAACGCTTCTTTGGATTAGTCTTAGGAGTAAATATGGGAAGAGTAACAGAAACCTGACTCTGAAAACTCCAGCTCAGTATCAGTGGCTTCCACTCGAAATGCCTCTTCTGTGTGGTTTGTACCTGCAGAAAGCATCACCAAGAGTTGGTTTAGAATACTAGTTCCTGTCCCTTAGATCCTAATAATTCTATAACCATACATTCCTAGCTATTAACTGTTCTTGGCCTTGATAGGCCCCAAATGTGTAGGTAAATCCACAGCTCCTCTTTAATCCTAATCTGACTCATGAGAAAATCTAGGGTCCAATGTCTACTGAAAATCAGGCATAATTCCTCTTGCAGAAAATAACTTTGCAGTGTCCCTGCCCAGTTGTTAGGTAGTTCTGTGGTCCTAGCCTTGATATCTGTTGAGGGCAAGCAAATGATGTAACCTGTGTAGTGCAGCCTGTGAGAGCAATTTAGGTGGCTTTGTACCATTGGTTTTTATGTTCAGGATAAAAGCTCTCGGAAAAATGTAGGCCACTTTTATTAACTTCATGCCGACAGCTCTCTCTGGGCACCTAGAGGTTTATTTCTAGTTGGAGGACCAACTTTAAAGGGAGAAAACTTTGTTATTGGTGATAACCATGCCTTCTGTGTTTCTTTATTATAGGAACAGGGGAAAATTGGAGTTGTCTTCAATATTGGCACAGTTGACATCTCAATCAAAGAGGAGCGAACCCCAGTAAATGATGGTAAATACCACGTGGTGCGCTTCACCAGGAATGGCGGCAATGCTACCCTCCAGGTGGACAACTGGCCAGTGAATGAGCATTATCCCACAGGTACATGTTTTACTGCCAATGACTGTACTCTTGTTCACTCTCCCATTCACTTTTAAATGGATATTTTTTCACATGACTTCCACAAAATCATGTAACATTGAATATTAAGCACCTGTTCATGATTTTATTTATTATGAGAAGTAATTTCATTAGGACATAATTCAGTGTAGGGAGCTTCTGGAGACGTACTAACTATGCACAAATAATTTTTGTCAACCTGACCAATGTCACCTGACTGGCTCATACCAAAGGAAAATATTGGGGCTTTCCAGGGCATGAAGAATGATGAACAATGAAAGGAAGGGGCACCTTCTGTATCATGAGCTATTGTGAATAATCACAGGAAAATCAATTGAGTTCTGGGCTTCATGGAGACATTTAGTAGGGTACGGTTGAAGGCACAGTTAGACGGAGATGGTGGAGAGACTGTGAAAGGAAGCTCACTAAACTTGAGTTGATGAACATCAAGTCACCAACAAGAGAGAAAGGAAAGGTGGAATTTCACTCATTTGGTTGACTTTTCTCATCTTTTCTCTCATGTATGCTAAGCCTGAATTGATATTCAGAAATGGGTCCTAGTAGGCATTTTAATAGCAAGCATCCTGGCATAGGAGGGAGAGGGGTTAATCATCTGTTTAAATTTTATAGTCAAGGAGCATTTGCCAACTAACTCCCAGAGCCAGATGGCTGAATCAAGGGCAATGGGAGGAAAGGTTGCCTTCTTTAAAGGAGATCATTCAAATAATCCCTTAGCTTTCCCATTTATCTCTCTCTTCTCCCAGGAAAAGAGTCCTGGGCCTTGATAATTGAGTTCCAGGAATAGAAGGATAACATTTTAGCAGACATCGTTGGTCCACAATTCCATTGCCTCCTAATGGATACAGAAAATTAACTTTTTTGCTAATGTGAGCAGGATGTTGCATCTAATTCTCTGTTCCCTATATTCAAATTCCTCAGTTTTGTCACCATTTTCCTTCCATTTTCTTTATAGTGAGATGGGTACAGTGACAAGGAAGCCAAGAGCATATTTCCAGAAGCTTAAGAACTATTTAGCTATTATCAGACTTGAGAAAAATGCACCAAGTAAATTACCTATTTGTGGCCCAAGATTCTTAATGACTTGAAGGCTTTGATTGTGCTTGCGGCCTAACTCAGCATTAATTTCTTTTAAAACTCAATCAAAACTGCCTAGTTCTTGGGTTTTTTTTTTTTTTTTTTTCCTCCCCCTAACAGCTGGGAGCTCTGGTAGCATAGTGGCTAAGGCACTTGACTGCTAACCAGAAGGCTGGCGGTTCAAACCCACCAGCCACTCCTCGGAAGGAAGGTTGGGCATTCCTACTTCCGTAGTGATACTGCCTCGGAAACCCAAGGAGGGGTCGCTATGAGTCGGGGCCGACTCGATGGCAAACAACAACAACAACAACAGCTACAGTTTCCTTACCTCTGCTTTAAGAATTGTGAAGTATCCACAACAGAGCACAAGGCCCCCAAAGTATTGAAGCAAATTATCTACCATCTCAGCTTCCAGATAGCTTCAAGACTCAATATGATTGCCAAACATTTGGATAGTGCTCTTAAATGTCACATAGTCCTTTCAAAGACTAATTCATTTTAAGTCCTGTAAGTAGTTTGCAAGTTGAGTAGAGTTTTCCTTTTCAAATGAAAAAAATAAAACAAAAAGGACCAAGAGAGATTTTTCTGTCCTTTCTAAAGTCAAACAATATGTGTGAGACAGAGCCTGGACTAGATTCTCCTGTTCCCAGCTGGGTACAATTTCCACTATTCCTCCCCAAGCAAATTGGGAGATGTTTTAAAAAATGCATAGAGATAAATGACTATCTTTGTTTCTGTGTCATCTTAGGTATATTCCTTCCTTTAAGAAAGTGTCATATTTCAAAAGTCAGTTCCAATAGCCACCCAAATGTGGTTATTGCAAGATATGAATTCAAAAATCCCCTTTTCAAAAAGAAAAGTTTTAAAATTACAAATGAGTCCAAGCTGTCCTCCTCACCCCAATGGTGGTGTGCTTACAAGGGGCAGTTGAAAGAATACTGAGTATTTAAGAAGCCACCAGCTTTCTTTGTTGGAAAATGGTGTGAAGTGCTAGACAGACCTCAGCATTAGTGTTTCACATTTCACTCTGCTAAGACTTCCCAGGATCCGGCTTTCACATTCTTAGATACTCTATTTTCTCTCCCGCCTGCTTCCTTGTACTATTGAAATGACCCATTTATGTAAATTTAAAGCATTGTTAGAGCAACTTGGCAATGTTTATTTTAGATCATAGTATCAAAATATCCATAGTAGCTGACCATCAAAAACAAAGCAACCTGGCCACACAATCTTGACAGGTTCTTCAAAAGTGATATATTCTCCTTTTTCTACGCCATTCTATTTTATTGATAACGCTAAATATAGACGCAATCAAGAGGAATTCAGTCAAGTTATCTTTCTATTAGGAGCTCTGGTAGCGTAGTGCCTAAGGCACTTGACTGCTAACCAGAAGGCTGGTGGTTCAAACCCACCAACCACTCCTCAGAAGGAAGGTTGGGCAATCTACTTCCGTAATGATATCACCTTGGAAACCCAAGGAGAGGTTGCTATGAGTCGGGTCTGACTCGATGACACATAACAACAACAACAACATCTGTCTATTGCTAATGTTTAAACAGTAAAGAAATATGGATTAGCCTGCAGAATCTTCACCTTAAATTACCTCATACTGAGGACAAGCTCTCAGAATACTGGTTCTACTCAACAAGTCACTGTACATCAGGACAAATGGGTCAACTTCAGAATCAGCTCATGGGCATTTATAGGATTTTGAGTGGTTCCACTGAAACATCCCACCATGAAGTATTTAGAAACCAGCTGGGCACAGGACATGTAGCATTGGCTCTTCGTGCATCAGGAAAGATCCAAAATGAAAATAGTTCTATAGCAATTGGAATCTTACACCACGTAATTCTGGGAGATAGAACTCAAAAGCAACTTCTTTCTTTGAACCTGAAAATAGAAAGGCTAAGGAACAGGAGGGGGAAATAAAAGAAGAGTCAGCCCAGAGCTATCATCCAGGCACTGACAAATGTTCTTTATAAAGCCTCTGATTGCTGTCTCGACACAATGCAGTGGTGGGGATAAGGGAGGGGAGGTGAAAGGTGACTTGAACAGGAGGTATTAATTTTAGCCCACAGTTCCAGGCCTCCTGGAAGGCTGAGTTGACTAGGATTGTTAGAGATCTGCTCTCTGGTTTGAGTGGGTGGCTAGTTGTGTCACCAGGGCTCTTAGAACCCTGAGCATGGTTCAGGAAGGGGCTTTTCAGGTCAGAGTCAGGCTTCCTGGGAAATTAAAAACTGATAAGCAGTTCTGTGTACGGTTCTCTACCTTTGCACCCAGGACAGTGCTGAGGAAAAAAGGATCTTATTCTACTATTATTGAATTCTAAATCACTTGATGTGCTCCTGAATGGAAATCTCTTCCTCACAGTCAATAAAATGGCCACTAACAATGGCTGACACTTAAAACCTGTTTGACCACCCAACTCACATCAATAAGAAAGACACAGAAGTGGGTACCCTTCAAGTACACTAAATTAGAAAACTCTTACTTTATATTAAAGGGTTAAATTCTACAGATTTACCTTTATGTCATATTTCTAAAATGCAAAAACATTACTTTAGTGCTTATTGTTGCTCAAAATACTTCCATAGACATTATGTTTGAGCCTCACTCCTCCTACCAGGAGATTGGGTTTGGTATTGTTATCACCACCACTCCTATTTTAAAGTTATGTTACTGAGACTGTGAGCAGCTGTACAACTTAACTAGCATCACACAGTATAAGTACCAGAGCAACATTCTTATCCTGAATCTCCAGGTGCACTTCTTCAAGATTTCTGCCACTATCCTATTTCTCAAGAGTCATAAATTTATAGAATCTGACACTATTTTTATAATACATATAATAGAGTGTTTCTAGGTCTGTGGGGGATGGGAGGTGGGTTGTGTGTATTGCAGGATATTTAATAGCAGCCCTGGCCTCTGCCCAGTAGATGTGGTAGCATAGCTCCACACATTGCCAAATGTCCTTTGGGGGTACCCCCTGCCATTGGTCCATCCCAAATCATAGTGATCCTATGGAGTGTGAGCTGCTCCATAGGGTTTCCAAGGCTGTAAATCACACAGATTGCGAGGCTGGCACAGGACCAGGCAGGGTTTTGTTCTGTTGTACATTGGGTCGCTCTGAGTCAGAGCCGACTCAACGGCAAATCTTTATGGAAGCAAACTGACTCATCTGTTTTCCATGGAATGGCTGGAGGTCTCAAATCGACAACTTTTGGTTAACAGCCTAATGCCCTGACCGCTGCACCACCAGAGTTCTGTCCTTTGAGGGGTAGGGGAGCAAAATTGCCCCCTGTGGAGAACCACTGAGTTAAAATCTCTAACATATTTTATTTGAAATTATCTAGTCCTTTCATAGTTTGTTGTTGTTTTTATGTGCCAAGGAGTCAGACCCAACTCACAGCAACCCCTCCTTGGGTTTCCAAGGCTGCATTTCATAGTTTAGGTTGTATATATAGGTCTGAAAGATTTTTTGTTGTTTTCCACCTAGCACCCTATATTTTTGAGACTTTAAAGGGTTAAAAACTAATCTATATACTTGACATGAGGCTGAAATTTCACACGTTTTAGGTTTTCATTAATTCCTAGCCAGAAGGTTTTCTTCCCTTCTTTGGCTGCAAACATTTGAGGTCTTGCCAGAGTTGAAGCACACATTAAAACAAGCCCCATCTACCTGCTCAATCATCCGTTGAGGACCAGAGTTGCTTTCATTTTAATGCCGGGGAAACACATAGGGAAGTCCTACAAAGGGAGTAAGAATTATAAATACAGTCAAGAGGGAAAAGCTATATTTGAACATGGTTTCAAGACTGTAAGAGAGGCAATGACAGCTAGAGTGGGCTCACTTAATGGCATTTCTACGCCCATTGTAAGACTAC